CTTCCTTCCTTCCTTCCTTCCTTCCTTCCTTCCTTCCTTCCTCCCTTGTTTTTGTTTCTGTTTGTAGGTTTTTAGTTCTGTATTAGTTTTTATATATATATATAAACTTTAATAAAACTATTTAAAAAAATCAACCAGGTCAGGAAACACACTGCAAGCAATACTAGAATTCTATTTTACTGATATAGCCTGATACAGAATCTTGAAAGCCTGACAGAGTTTTTCATCTTTCTCTTACACCTAAGAGAGTCAAGGCAGGCCAATCTTGCATTTCTTCCTCACCCTTCCCCCCTATCTGGGCTAAGCTGATGATTTTGTAATGGTTGCTGAATATTTTTTTTCAAGGCTATCTCTGTACTTTGCTACAGCATGGTATGGGATCATATTAACATGGTGGAAAGTATGCAGAAAGCACATGAGCAGAAAAACTGCACAACAACATTAATAGTTTGCAGTTTTTTCTGCTCATGTGCATTTGAAGAGGCAGCATTAGTCTGTATTGCCAGCAGTAGAAGAAGAAATGTCAGGAGGCAAGGGCAAAGTTATAGCACAGCCAGTAGCAGGTGAACAGTTCACATCTCAGGCAGCTCCCTCCACTCTTATCTGTCCCCAGTAAGCAGTCTTAGGCTACCATGGAAGATATGAAGTAGGGTAAGTATGGGTTCATCAAATGGTGATTATCAGTGCCAACGTACAATTATCAATGCCAATCAACAATTGCATGGATAAAATGTTGGCTCTAAATGACAAATCATCCTGCCTGGTAAAGTCTATCAATCACCTGATTCAAGTGCTGATCTCATGCTACCATCATGCACCACTTTCAACAGTTAGATGTAATGTACCTAGCAGCTGTGGAGGGCTAAAACTACAGATAATATTGTTCACATCTAATATTTGGAGTAGCTAGGGTAACAATACACCTATCTGTTCCTTACTAATCTGAACTCTGAAGGATACTTCTTCATATTAGAGACCATGGATCAGTTCTACACAGCAGCAAAATCAAGATGGCCATTAACTGGATCTCAGATAGATGGCTAACCGGATAGCAGCTTTCCTAAAATTATATAGTCATTGTTACTAATGGAGAAAAATATGCTAAAGTTTGTATATAAGACTAAATCAGCAGCATAAATTCCTCAATGTGAGGAATAGACTAAATAAGATTGTTTCACTTTCTTGTGTAACACTACACTCTAAAAGATTTCAAGTCAGTTCAACAAATTGCTGAGGAAAAAACAAACAGGGTTAACTTTCCAGGAACCCTGACTGATGTGGATGTGGGACTAAGATGGAACTCCATGTCAAGATAGTAACAGTAGTAATTCCTACTTTTGGATCAGTTTTCTCACCAAATAGGAACCATGTTTGAATGTACTTCAGTGGGACAAAAAAAAAGGGGGGGCGGGGAGGAATCATAGAGAATTGGCATAGTGCCAGAGGATTGGAGAAAGGCAAATGTTACTATCTTCAAAAAGGGAAAAAAAGGGGTGCAGGATAACTACCCTGGTTAGCTTTATGTCAGCAATAGGGAAAATTCTCGAACAGATTATGAGTCAGTTTGTGAGCATCCAGAATATAATGAATTGCATAAATCATGCTAAACCAACCTGATTTCCTTCAACAAGGCAAAGCCTTTCATGAGATTCTGGTAGAGAAGATGTCAAATTATGGGCTGGGCCATGCTACAGTTAAAGGGATACAGAACTGGTTAAACAATAGTACCCAAAAACATGTATGTCAATGACTCTACATCAAACTTAAATAAAGTATAGAGTGACATCATGCAGGGCTCTGTTCTAGGCCCGTTATTGTTCAAAATATTTACAAATATACTAGATGAGAGATTAGTAAATACTATCATGAAATTTGTAAACAATTAAAAAATAGGGACACAGCATTCAATGTCAAGATTCAGGAGGAACTGAAAAGCTGGAACAATAGACAAATAGCAGCAAGATAAATGTCACCTGGGACAAATGTAAAGACCTACATTTTGGTCAGAAAAATCAAAGACAGGAGCATAAGATGGAGAGAGGCCACAGTAGATAGTGATACATGCAAAAGAAACTGGATATCTTGGTGAATTATATGCTGAACAGAATATAAGCCTAAAGTGTGTGGCAAAACAATACAAAAACAACAAATGTTGATTCTTGATTACATCAAGAGAAATATAGTGTCCAGATCAAGAAAAGTTCCTCTCTATACTGAGTTGGTCAGACTGAACCCATAATATTGCAACTAGTTCTGGGCACCACATTTTAGGAAGGACATTGACAAAGTGGAGCATGTTTAGAGGTAAACAACCAAGATAACAAAAGCCCTGGAAGGAAAAACCTATGAGTAAGGGTTGAGGTATTGCGTATGTTTAGCTTGGAAAAGAGATGACTATGGGGAGACAGAATAATTGTCTTCAAGTATCTGAAGGTGTGTCACATAGAAAATTGCTCTAAATTATTTCAGTTGGACATCATGAAAAATTTCTGAACAGTAAGAGCTGTTCAAGAATGGAACACACTGTTTTGAAAGGTGGTGGGCTCTTCTTCTCTTGGAAGTGTTTAAAAAGAGGCTTCATGGCCATCTGTTGGGGAAGGTATAGTAGTGGGTTGCAATGGTCAGCAAGTTAGACTAGATGATCTCCAAAGACACTCGTATCCCCTTACATTCTATATTCTAAGCTTCTTTAAATTCTAAAAGACAGAAACAAAACTGCCTTATGAATTAGGGAAATGGCTGGAAAACAACAGAATGAATTTGGACAAGATAACTGCAGAGTGTTTTCCTTAGGAAACAGAAATCAGGTATAGAAATATAGAACGGGGAATACTTACTATAATTTTATAATACTGCAGAGCTTTTAAAAAAGCTATTGGAACTGGAATTCATGATAGATTTAATATGATTTGCAATGTGACATGGCTCCAAAATTTTTTGCATTACAGAAATAAAATTTCCATATCTTGGCAAGTAAGATTTGACCTATCTTTTGGTCAGACTTCAGTTCAAGTACTAAGTTGAGTTTGGGCACCCCATTTTATAAAGAATTTAGAGAACTTGAATAAGTTCAGCAGTGGGCAACAAGAATGATTATGAGACATCAAACTAAATTCTATGAGTAGAGAATGAGAGAAATGGATACATTTAACCTTGAGCAAAAAATGACACATACCACTCATCAAATACCTGACACAGATTATTAAATCCACACAGATTATTAAATCCAGTATCACATGGAATATAAGATATGATATAATGAACTGAAGATACAGAAGATCAGATTCCAACTGAATATTAGAAACTGTTCTTTAATATTAAGAACGGTTTGATGCTGGAACCAGAAAAATGGTAACCTTCCCTCACTGCATATCTTCAGTCAAATGCTATGGAATCATTTATTCTTATTGTTTTGATTTCAGTTCCTGCAAGGAGCAGGGGATTGAATGTTGGCCTGAATGGCCCTTTACACTGTATGATTTTATGGGGGAAAATATCTGAAAGGTTATGAAACAAAATGAAATTCCACGGAACATGTTCTACTGTATCGCCCCTATTCACATGGCATTCAAAAATAAGACTGAAATCCTATACACATGAAGCAATAAAGCTTATTGTCTCAATAGACATGCAGAGAATGGCATTATAAAAAGAAACTGTGATGGAATTTATCTTTGGATGGGTATACTGATTCTTGTTAGATTAGAATTGTTATTAAATTACATTGTTTTTAATAATATTTACTACAGTTTCCTGCAGGGAACACCAGGGATGTTGGCTAGAATGAGAAGTTAAAAAAAAAACCCTGGAAGAATGAAAAAAGCACATCTTTTCTGATGAGCAGAGCATGTCCATGCAATCAACAAAAGCTGAACTGACAAGGGAGTTTTTGCCTTTACTTTATCAAGAAGAGACATTAATCCAGTTGCTCTGAAATTTCCGGGATCTATTCTTCATTCCTTTTTAAAAACTAGTATTCTATAGGCTAATTTTCAAGTATCTGGTATCAAGGTTAAAATAAGTTACAATATCTAGTTAATATTAATTCTTTTTAAAAAAGAAAAACTCTTCTGGTTTACATAAGCATGGAATTCTGAAAATGACACAAATGTAACTCCTTGCAAATTCAACTCATGGGAATTTACTAAGAAATCCACTGAATCAGGACCATTACTGAAAGATAGTCTATTAAAAGGAGTTTTTTCACAAAATCATTTTTTTTTTCAAATGGACAACCAACTAACACCGGAATACCGTCAGTGAGAATTAGGCTTTTGTTTAATCGTCCTTACAAGATTGTATAATACAGAAAATAACCTCTTACTTGGAGAAAGACTTGCAGGGTACAAATCTGACAAATTAAAATATTTGACTCTCTCTTTAAAGGTCTTTGTTCTCTGTTGTATCTTTTTTCTTCCTTCCCTTTACTTAGTAGACTACGATCCCTTCAACGCCGAACGTGTTGGTACGAGGCGAGGATGCAAAAAGGCATTGGTGGGATCCGTCTCCATGGCGATCTCCGCTCCGCCTGTTCTGTCAGGCGCTTCGAGATGACGTTATCACAATGCTTCCTTTAGCGGAGGCTTTTGTGCGGTTAATTTGTAGCATAATTTTAATGTGTTCCGGGGAGCAAGTAGGGAAATGTGTATGAATGAAGAGAGGAAAGACGGGCTCTTTTAATGGCGGACTTGAAAGCTCCAGAACCTCTGGAAATCGAGAACAGGTAGGAAGTGAGTGAGATCGGAGAACGAGTAGTACTGATTGGTAGGGCCTAACGACAGTATGGATAGAACTGGAGGTCTCTTGAGCAGGGCGGGGTTAGCATGTAGGGATGTAACAAGAGAATGAGACAAGACCTGGATGGGAATAATAAGTGTAGGATGAGTTGATACATTTGCATTTTGAGGGAACTTGTTCAAAATGGTTGAGCAAGTTTTAGTTTTGGAATACGTGTCTATTTCTTTAGTACTAACTGTTGGGAAGCAAACATTACCTTTATGTCTTTTTATTTAAAAAAAATGATACTAGGTATAGACCCTTTAGCCATATTTAGTTTTAATGTAAACTCCAAAGAGCAAATTGTTTTTTATAATTAATTTCCATATGATTCTTTTATTTTTTTAATATTTGTTTCTTTTCATTTTATTTGCTTCTTTATGGTGGATCTTGTTTTTATTTATTTTATGGTCTCACTGGTAGACTCCTTTAATTTCATAAGAAAAAAAGGATACAAAAGTTTAGAGTTAACTGTGTATTTATCTTACTACTACTATTTTGCCCAGGATAATTGAGCTGTGCCATCAGTTTCCCCATGGTATCACAGACCAAGTGATTCAGAATGACATGCCTCACATGGAAGCTCAGCAACGGGCCATGGCCATTAACAGACTGCTATCTATGGTAAGAGCTTCCCAACTGTGTGTGGTTGTTGGATTTAAAAAAAAGATATCTAGCTGTAGTCTGAAATAAAACATCTACTATGTCTGTGTTAAAAGCATAATTTTAAAGTAAAAATACAGTTCACAGTTCTCATCACCCTGTAAGTCCATATTTAGATTGGTGCGTCTTTACCATACTAGGATTCTTAATATGTTGTCAGTTATTGACTTTGTGTCCTTCATCCAGCTGGAAAAAAAAACACTTTGTTTTTTTAAAAATAATTTCATATATTAATTTTATTATAATTTGTTTTTACAATATTTTATAATATGTTAAACTGTTTAAATCCTGCTCATGTATTATATAAACCACTCAGATGATTTCAATTGGAGCAACATAAAAACCTAGTAAAAATTAAATAGTAAATTAAACAATAGGAAATATGAGCTTGCCAATGAATAAATGCTCACAGAAAGTTGCAGCCAATATATGCTTTTTGACAAATGTATCTGTTTGCTATAATTATCTGCAAGCAATTATAGTTTGGAATTTGTTTATTCTTAGATTTATATCCTGCATTTCATTCAGGAGCTCTAGGTAGTGTGTATGCATATCTTTAAAGTGTAATCCATCCACTGGTTTTCAGAGGAAGGATAAAACAATTATTTTAATAAGAATCAGAATTACTGAATTTAATTTTGTAACTGAGGACATTGCTTCCTGCTATGCATTCATTATTAGAAAACTGTGGAAATGCTTTAAAATTGTGTGTATTCTCTTAGGGACAACTAGATCTTCTGAGAAGCAGTACTGGCCTTCTCTACAGAATCAAGGAATCCCAGAATGCTGGGTATGGATTTTTTTTTTACTCTCTTTTATTAAAATTGTCCATCAGTTGCTTAATATGAGGAAGTAGTACAGATAACATAACATTCATTTATCCCTTCATAGCATAGCAGGGCCATATAGAAATAGAAAGTCCAACCCAGCCAGGAGAACCCACTCAGTGTTTGCTTCTGTGCTCTTGTAAAAATTGCATTTGTATTAGAATACTGACATTTTAGGCTGTAATGCTAGAAAATAAAAAGAGAGTGGGGGAAGAGGGGTAATGGAATTAATACAGAAATATCTCTCAAAATAATATCAGTCAACCTTTAAATTATATTAATCTTAATCATATTTCTCTTACCTCAGATACTCAAAGGAATGAAAATAACAAGCTTGCTGTTGATAAAACAAGTTCTAACTTTAGCACAGGTTTTTATTCTTCAAATACTCTTAGCTCTCTTTAACTGAAATTACTGAGTACTGCAAGATATCCTTTAGTAGACTCAGATCTTCACTCTGACATGTCCTTCCACCCAAACTTCCCAATTCTCTTTCTTCTTAGTTAACCGATTTAAACCGTTGGTAAGTGAGCCCTCTCCATTCCATATCCCCTCTCTCAGGAATCTGAGATCTGGTGTTCTGATTTAAAATTATTTAAGTGACAGATTCCATCTGTCCAATGATCAGAGGGGTTTCTAGGTTGTTTTGACTTTGGCCAGGGTGCTTTTCAAAACAGAAAAATAAAATCCAGTCCCTTCCAGATAATACCTTAGCATGTTTCCCTCATGCACTGTGGTATTTTGAATCCAACTTTAGCCATAAAGTGAGCTCATTTGGTCAGATTATACTGCTGGATTTCTGCCCTTCATCCAGAAAAGAGAGAGACAAGTTTGACTTCTATAGAGCCCTTAGGATTTTTATTGGAATGTTCAGGTCTGAGATATGCAGTCCGTTTTCCATAATCTACAAAGTATTTGAAGTAAGAAAGTATCAGTAAGAACCATCAGCAAATATAGCAGACTTTAAGAGAAACATCCTGGGAATGCTCTAACATTGGGAATAAAAAGCTGGGCTTACCATAAAGGTTTCTTCTGATCTTCAGGAATAGAACAGGTGGGCTCTTCTATTTTACATGATTTATCTCAACATTGATGATAGGTGGAAATTCTGTACTACCCCATTTTTGTATTTGCTTAATCCCTGGTTAGTTTTAACTGGATTATGTTGGATTTCTTTTTTTAAAACTGTTTCTATTATTTATAATATTTATTTATAATAGAAACCGCAAGAAGTGCTTTTTTAATGTAAGCTACTTTGTTGTTTTCTCTGAGCCATTTTGCCCTGAAACAGTTGTGCTACTGGGAGGAAGGAACACATGTGGGCTGATGTATGAGAGATCAAGCAGCCAAGTGAAAAGTCTCATCCACTGAGAGGGTACTAGCAATTAGTTCAGTGGTTTTATTTATTCAAGCACCAGCCATAGCTCTCAGTGGAGCTTCAGGAAGCAGTACTTCCCTTGTGCTATCTACTCTCCATATTTACCAAATCTTTTTGATCTTCAAAAGTGAAAAGATGTTCACCTTATATTTTGTTTTCTTGCAGTAAAATGAAGGGATCTGATAATCAAGAGAAACTGGTATATCAGATTATTGAGGATGCAGGAAATAAAGGTACTATGTATCTGTTTTACCTGTTGTCCTGCTTTACTATTGTCTTTGTGAAGTGCTGTAGCTGTTCTGTTCTTGAATACAGTGGAATATCAATGGTATTTTAAAGTAGGAGAAAATTATTGATGGCTTGCTGAGTAGATATAAAAGGAAGTCTGGACAAATTTATTTTCATGCTTAAAAGTATTTTAAATACTTAAAAGTAAAAAAAAAATCAAGGAATAGGAGGAAAAAAGAAAGATCAGGAGCCAACAGTTAATTTCTATCATTTCTTAATTCCTAGAAGAGGTTTTGAATATGTATTTGAGATGGCAGCTATTTGTTTGGTAATGGTATTATTCTACCCCAGGAGGAGGGAACCTTTTGGGGTCAAGCCCTGCACTTGTCATTTGGAATCAATTTAGGAGTTGCAGAAAACTGGGTGGAGTCTAGACAAAAAGTCATTGAGGTGCTTGTGATTGTTAGTCCCCAGGTTGTCTTTGGTTGGTTTACTAACTCATTTAAAAAAACAAAAACAAAAAACAATTTCATCACTGTGCCCATCTGCATAGAGAATTGGGCTTTATTGTTCTTAATACCATTATTATTACTGTGAAATTATCATCCATGCATTTGGAGTAAAAAACACAAAACTCTGTCCTTTGAGATCCTGTTATGAGAATTGATAGTAGCTACAATTATTACTGGCCATTAATTCAATACCTGCTGGTGACACAGCAACTGCTGCTGTTCTTCATAGAACAGTCTGTTTCTGTGAATCATTGGTTTTAAATACAGTGCACACATACATCTCCTACAATAGGAAGAAGAAAGCTAGTGATACAAATGATAATTATGGAGAGTCTAGGGCAGGACTGTTCATGGCAATTAGAAAGCGTCCATGGCAGGAAACAAGAAGATGAAGTATGTTTCCAAGATGGCTTTTTTACTCTGCAAGTTTATAAGACAACAAAGCATTCTGGGGAGATTGCCATTCAGCAGCAAGTCTTTGTGTGGGTGAAATAGTGGGAAAGAACTACATAGATGATGTGGATTACTGCTACAATTTGTTGCTGAATTTTGATGGAAAACTGGAATAAGCAGAAAAAAACTACATCAAAAAGTGGCTGCTGCTTCTAAATCAGTCACATGTAGAATTGGGGATGGGAATCAGGAGTGCCTGAAACAAAGAAGGAAACATTGGAAATAACTGGAATTTAATTATTTGTACCCACTGATCATTTTTAAAAAATTTCTAATAATATGAATTCATTGACTTAATTGAAAGATTTCAAAATAATATTTCTAATTTGATATATCTAAACCTCAGTCAGTGCTTTTTGTTTATATTTTATAACTTGTCTAATTTCGAGTGATGTATAAGTATGTATAAATGATAGTGCAGCTCTTTGCCATATATGATCCAGTAATAGGCGATGGTATTAGCAGTGTTTAAAAGAAAAACACAGAATTTAGGAATAATTTTTATTTTAAATGTACCTATTTTACCAAGCAAAAAGAAGTTGCTATGGTTTAAGTCTTTAAGAGAAGAGGCCCAGCACTGCATTTTTTGATTGATGCCAGTCCTTTGAAATTAAATAAAATACTTGATTCCTGTTGACTGCGTAGTTTCAGCCATGCAGTTTTCTTGGCAATAGCATGCAACTGATTTACCACTGACTTTCTTTGTGATATTAACAAATTCATAGTTTAGCCAGCAGCCCAGTAATTTTCTGGTAGTCTCCTATCGATGTAACCAGGTGTGACCCTGCTTAGCTTCTGAGTCCAAACATGGTTATTATTCTTAAAAATCTAAATCCTCCAACAACTTCTTGTGAGCTGTTTATTTGATTCTTCAACAGCATGAATGAGCATAGCAAACGGTTTGTCAAAATTAAATTCCATGTGGTAGCAGATAGTCACTAATGCCTTGGTCACTCAATTGAATTACTGTAATGAACTCTACATGGGGCTGCCCTTGAAGACCACTTGGAAGCTGCAGGTGGTCCAGAATACAGCAGCATGGGCAGTGATGGGCATATTGTGATATACAAAGATGTGCTTCCTGCTTTGCGAGCTGCACTGATTGCCATTTGGTTCTGGGTACAATTCAAGGTATTGATTATCACTTATAAAGGCCCTGCCTAGCACAGGACCTGGTTACTTGAGAGTCTGCCTGTCTCCATATGTTTCTGCCCATCCAGTGAGTTCAGTTAGAGTAGGTACACTCCAGGTCCCATCAATTAAGCAGTGTTATCTTGCAGGACCTTCTCAGTAATAGCTTCTGCCCTGTGAAATGATATCTTTCTGGATACTGCTTTCACCCTTTTGACTTTCTAGAAACCACTAAAGACCTGGTTGTTTTCCCAGGTCTTGGGTTAGGATGGTGGTTAAGCCCCTTGAGGTTTTTTTGTTTTTTTGTTTTGTTTTTTGTTGTTTGGTTCTTTGGGGTTTGGGGTTTGTCTATGGTCAGTTGTCTTTTTTTCTTTTTTTATATAATTTTATTGAAAGTTTTAACAACAATAATAAGAACTAACATAAACTAAAATAGAACAAAAAAGAAGAAAGAAAGGAAGAAAAAGGGAAAAAAAGCTAAAAATGCAAAAAGAAAAAAAAATAGAAGAAAAAAAATATAAAGAAGTGGCTTCCAGTCTTCTTCAGAATAGTTATAAGTATAATTATATTTTAACCTCTCTCTCTAAAGTTACATCGTAACTCTCTTCTTTCTATAGTCTATTCTGTCTAATCATCAAAACCATAAATGATAGGTTCATTTTTTTTCTTTTTTACCAAAAGGCCCATAAGGGGTTTCCAGTCACCAATAAATATAGATATTGTCTTTTCTCTAATCAAACAAGTCAATTTAGCCATTTCAGCAAATTCTGTCATCTTTACCAACCATTCCTCCATTGTAGGTATCACCAAATCATTCCATCTTTGTGTATACAATAATCTTGCTGCAGTTATAATATTAAAAACAGTGTTCTATTGCTCTTTTTGAACTGTTTATCCATCAGTCCCAAGAGCAAAATTTCTGGTTTCAATTGAATGTTAATCTTTAAAATCCTCTGAATCACTGTATGTATTTGAGCCCAAAATTTTCTAGCTTTTTTGCATGTCCACCAAGCATGATAAAATGATCCTTCGTGTTCACATTTCCAACATAAATTTGAAATACCTTTATACATTCTAGATAATTTTTCTGGTGTCATATACCAAGATACATAATTTTATAAAAATTCTCTTTATGATTATAACATAATATAAATTTCAATCCTTTCAACCACATATTTTCCCATTGTTCCATTTGTATATTATAACCA